GATGCTTGGCTGTCTTTTGAATCTTGGTTTCCCTGGCATACCATTATAAAATAGACATTTGAGTGGGAGAGAAAGGTATAGCCAGAAACATCACTATAGAAAGCTTGTAAATCCGTCTTCTGCCTATAGCTGAATGGAATATCTAAAATGGGACTACAATGTGCCCAGTGAAGGAGGCTTCCTGCGGGGAGCCTCTGCATTACATAAGATCATAGGTGGAATCCTGAACCCCATCCAGAATCTTCTGAGGTGGGAAATTTCCACTTGAGAGGACAAGCAGACAAGCCTGGAACAGCTAGAAAAACAGAAGATACTTCTTGAAAGAAAGACCGACAGGAAAAATACAAAACAATAACAGCAGTCCGACTGATTACTACAAAAACAAGCAAGTTGTTTGCCCAGGAGTGGTCAGGTTCCCTCAGAGTAAACCCTCTTCCAAAACCAAGACTCAATTGGAATACATGCTCTGAGTGGTGACCACGTTCGTCACCGATAAGGGGAAGAGAGGGAAAAACAGCAATGAAGCTGCAAGCTAAGCCCTACAAAGTTCAATTGCCTCCTGTGAACCTGGGTGGAGACCTGATTGGCCAGCAGTGTGGCAAGACTTGGGGACTCTTGGGCCCAGATTCAGTGACATAGACACAGAGGACTAGAATGGAGAGTGAAGTGTCCATCTGATGTTGTTGTTGTTGTTGTTATGTGCCATTGAGTCGGTTCCGACCCATAGCGACCCTGTATAGGGTTTCCAAGGGTGTAAATCTTTACAGGAGTAGAAAGCCTCTTCTTTCCCCCGCGGAGCAGCTGGTAGTTTCGAACCGCTGACCTTAAGGTTCACAGCCCGATTTGTAGCCACAAGAGAGGGCATATGCATAAGAACACCCACACTTACAGATGATACCCACTTGACCTGGCTTCAATGACTGGATGATCAGAGCTTAGCTAGAAGGAGAAAGAAGAGAGAAAAAAGAGTAATCTGATACAGTATCTCAAAAGAGGGAACAAATCTTTACAGCGAGGATCATTCCCACCCCTTCCATACGTAGGGTAGACCAGGATGGGCAACTTGGACATTGGTTACCCAAAATGGGGGGGAGGGGCGTTGCGGAGGGTGCTACAAAGGCAAGAAATGAGTGGCTTACAAGCTTTCAAGACGGAGCCTAGATCCAGAGGGTACGGAGGAAGGTAGAATCTCCACTGAGTAGTATCCAATCTGTCTGGGCGGGTCTGATGAAAGGAGATGGGGATAGGTCTCTTGTGGTACAATAATGAATAATAGTTATCAGGACTGACTGTGAGGGTTGGAAATGTAAAGGTAGATGTTTTGTAGCAAAAGGAAGGGAGTGATTGACTTTGCAGTCCAGGAGTGGAGGTCCCTGGGACCATCAAGGGAGAAGAGCAGAGTGCAGGACCTTACCCAGAGAAACAGTGATGCCAGAGATGGAGGCAGAGAAGATGATGTGGAGAGATGGAGCAGCTGGGGCCTTTAGACCCAGAGAGAGAGAGAGAGGGGAGCTGTGTGCTGATGACTGGGGGTAGGCTTGTAGGGTATACCCTTTGGTTGGTTGATGATGCGTGGAGGGGATTGTAACCATGGCAATGAAACGATATATGATAGGATGAATGTAAAGCTAATGTTCTCCCATCCGAACTATCACATAATTCACAATAAAACATTTGTTTTTTAAAAATTATAGCCTTGGAAATCCCAAGGGGTGGTTCTACTCTATCCTATAGGTCCATACTGTGAGTTGGAGTTAACTCAACAACAATAGGTTTTGGTTTTTGAATCCTCATAGCAATCCTGTGAGATAAGTGCTATTATGATCCACATTTGTAAATGAGGAAAGTGAAGCACAGAGAAGTTAAGGTAGTGGCCCAAGGTCACATAGTTTGTAAGTATCTGAGCCAGGAATCTAACCCAAGAAATGGCTGGCAGTTCAAACTCACCAGCCATTCCTTGGAAACCTTATGTAGGGTTACTATGAGTCGAAACTGACTTGATGGCACTTAACAACAACAATAATAGCACTTTATGCCTTGCCAGTGGTCCTTAATGCCCAGTCTATGTATCTTCCTCACCATATTGTGAGCTCCTTGATGGGAGGGACTATGTCTTCTTGCTCATCTCTACATCTCCTTTATGTAAAGAGCTTTATGATGAATGCTTGGTGCATGCTGTTGTTAATTGTCGTCGAGTTTATTCCAACTCTTGATGACCACATTTATGAATATATAGATGTGCTCTATGAATGGACTAGAGTGGAATAGAATGGAATAGTATGGAATGGAAGAGAACTGGATTAAGTAACCTGCTGACCTGGAGTGCCTTGTTTTTCTAGTTAGTTCCACAAGGATTCAGCCCATCTCTTCTGGCCACTGCCATCAGAGAGTTATGTGAAAGTGTCGGGAACAGTGAATGCCTTTGCTTCCCATCTTAGAGCAAAGACTGCTATTGGGGTACAGTAGTCATTGAGTGAGTTTCTGCGGAATTTGGTTAACTGTTGGGTAAAAAGACTTATTTTCCACATTAGAAGTTGCCTATGAATTTCTCTCAATGTCTACAAGTGGCCCAGAGTGCCATAATCACATAATAGTAACATTTTTAAAAAACCTGTTGAACATATTGGAGGAAAGGGGAAGGTAAGAGAGAACAGGGAAACTCTCTTGTCACGAAATAGAACAAGTAATGATAGGGTTTTTTCAGCTCACATCAGGCTAGAGTTACTCCAAAGAGAAATGTCTTCATAAAATAGTAATAATGGTCACTAGAATAATAACCAATATTTATAGAGTGCTTACTGTGTACCAGGCATTGTGCAAAATTATTTCAATGTATCATCGTGTTTAACCCCCACAAAAATCCTATAAGGTAGCCACTACTATGGTCCTTGTTTTACAGATGAAGAAACAGGGTTAGAAAGATTCATCAGCTTGTTCTATGCTGTACAGCAATTAGTGAAAGAACTAGGGTTGGAAACCAGGCCAGTCTGATAACCAGATTATAATCACTATACTGTATGGCAACACATTTTAATGACATTTGAAATATGACTAGGTGGTAGACATGTAGGAGCATGGACTTACATGTTAGGAACATTTATAATAAGAGTTGAAAAAATGTTGAAAATATTTTCTTTGTCTTGGGAATATACCTAGGAAAGGAATTACTGGATCATGTGGTAATTCTTCTTCTTCTTTTTTTTTTTTCATGTACTTAATAAAGGTCTTTAGATTTCAATTGTATGAATCAAACAGTAAACATTTTATTACATTTTTCTTTTGAGGGTCTGAAAGCCTATGTTTATTTTCTTTAGCTTTAATTACTTTTAAAAAACTTTTGTTATGATCTGGGTGAAAGTTTACAGAACAAATTGATTTTCAATTAGACAATGCACATTTTGTTTGTGACATTGATTGCAATTCTCACAATGTAACAACACGCTTTCCATTTCCTCCCTATGTTTCCTGTTTCCATCTGTCCTTCTTTCCTATCCCTTCCTGACTTCTGAATTTTATCCCAGTGTCAATACTGCCCTTTGGCTCTCATATGGTTAATTGTTCTAAGAAGAGCATACTTCCCTGGTGTTATTGTTCACTTTAGGTAACACTTACCTTTAATTGTTTGTGGAATGGTCGGACTATTTTGCACTGTGCTGCACCATTTTACATTCCCATCAGCAGTGTATGAGGGTTCCAATTTTGGCCTTGTTGAATGGAAGTGTTCTCAATAAAGTCTTGGATGGCATGGGATGTTCTTCCCTTTCTTTTCACCGCTAAACATACCCGCATGCACTTCAACTTCTATTTCCAAGAAGAGTTACTGGCTGAGTGGCCTGATAAAATGAGTCCTTAGAAATTCACATTTCTACTTTCCCTTCATTCTCTTTCATTTTGGGGGTTCTGAGACAACCACTCCTTCCCCCTATATTGTTCCACCAAACTCCTGCACTGCCCTCAGGTCCATACGGTTTGTAGCCCTAGTTGCAAGGCACTTCTTACTGTATTTGGGAGCTTGGCACTGAAATAAATGCCTCTGTAAGCCAAAGTAAGGCTGCACATGGAAACTCAGACCATTAGTGAGCATAAAGAAAAATGTAACTACATCACGGAACTTGTGTTAAGATTTATTGGTCCATTCTTACCACTTTTTACTTCTTCCATTTTAATCCCCATCACCAGCCATCAGTTAGCAACCATTTTCAGCCAAGATTGGCAGACTCAGTGCACTAATGGCAGAGCTGAGAGAGCTGTGGAATCTGCTACACTGAGCCATCATCCCAGCCACTTAGAAAGGGAAATTGTTTTTCAGGGTTTTACACTGCCATTTCTGTTCACCCTTTAATGAATGCTTTCTGTCCATAAATGAAGCAGGGATGGAAGAAGAGGTGAATAAGTGCTAACATAAATTGCAGTGGGCTAACCACAGATAGAGGCTTTCAAAAAAGATTCCTTCCCCACCCCCTCCTCCTTTTGTTCTCCTCTCAGTCTAGGCTAAGGTGATTGCTGATTTTTAAAGTACTTCCTGGGTTTGATTAGTGGGCCAGATGCATCAGAAATTGCTCTTGAAAACCTCATTTTGTAATCCATGAATCAGAATAGAAGGAGTATTTTCAAAAAAGATAAAGGTTCTATCAGAGCACATGCTTTTCACCAGTATATGACTTTTACTGACTCACCAGTCACGCGCTAGGTAGTGGGTATTGAAATTAAGATAGGCAAGCTCTGAAAAGCTATGGTTGACCTCTACTTTTAGTTTTAGGGGCACATGAGTTTCTTTTTAGGTGTGATTCTGATCTACAAGGAATAATTGGGAAATGGTGATGGGAAATATTTTTATCGTATGTGCTGTATTTGTGTACATAACAGTTGCATGTGGAGTCGATTCCAACTCATACTGTTAGCATCTCTACCCCAGTTGTTTTCCATTATCTACACGGGAGCTGGAATGCTTATGTGGTCAGACGGTTTTCACACGTTATGTATGCCATGTTGCTTTATAGCTCGGCTTTGGATCATTCCTTGGAATCATCGGATCAAACCTTATTGAGAACAAACGGCAGATGGTAAGTTTTATCACTATAGAATCAAGTACTGCATCTGTTAAGTTCAAAATTTATATGAGTAAGTAACATGTTTCTTAAGGTTGCCAAATTGGGCCACAAAAGAAACTATTTCTGCTTTTTCTCCTAAGCCTCCAAGGAACTTGTTTTACAACAACCCTGTAGGATGGGACTTGTTCACATCTTGCCTGATGCTCCCTCAGTTTCCTTAAACTACAAGGATAAACTATTCTAGATTTTGCCTTTTGCTTTCCTCCTCACTCCCAGTAGTGCTCCAACCCTATGGTCAGGTTATCATCTGCCATTTCTGCAGCCTTGGATTACTGGTGTCCCTCGCATCTTTGATACAGAATCTTTGGGGGAAGTTTTTGCAGAGAATTTCTGCCTTTTAAGGAATTACAATCTAAGGGAAATTGAATTAAGAGAAGAAATGTTCTGAGGGAACGCAGAAGACAAAACAAAAGAATGAAACCAACCTGGGGTATTTCCATTAGCATAGTTCATGTTGTAAGGTTGAAAGGAAGGATGAGCGAATAACAGGATTTCCGTGTCCTAATGAGCCCCAGAAGGGCAAGCTGTTGCATTGTCCTGGCTCAGTCTGAGAAGACTTCCTGGAGGGCTAGGAAACAAGGTGCAGACCAAACTGCAAGCATTTTGCAGTTTTATAGGCTTATAAAGGAAGATGCCTGGTGAATGGTCAGATGGTAGGCTGATTAGCTCTCTAAGGTATCACAACTTTGAAAATGGGATCTATTTAACAGCAAGTTTAATCAGATAACGTTATAGCTCCAGGGACAGAGAGCTCTAACCAAAGGTTCTCTCACAGCAATGTGAGAAATCACCCTCAGGGGAGTTCTAATAGTTTTCTTCTTCTATTTCACCTGGACTATCCCCATGCCAGTTGTATATGAAATTTGGGTTTAAATTATTAAAAATAATGGGGGCATTTTAATTTTAGGACTGATCATGGCATAGCTAATAATGCCAATTTCATGAAATCATTCATCCATTATTTATTTACCAGTTCTCTGCTTGTAAACTGAGATTTATTAAGAGGTTTCTGAATAACTTTCAAAGGAGATAAACACATTTACTCCTATCTTGTTGAATCAGGAGAGCCCCAGGGTAGTGATGACTTTGACTTTCTCCTTCTCCTTGGCAAACATCTTAATGACATGCTAACCCAAATACATACACCCACACACCACCCCAATTCTTCCCCCAAATACCTCAAGGAAGAAAAGTGCTGATTCTATCTTGCTTTGAGGGCCAACATGGGCAGATGGTACGCTCAGGAAGCATCTAGTCCTGCCCATGAAAACACCATGAAACACATTGGTTTGTAGCATCATCTTTATACATGGAAGATAACTTATCAGAAAAGTTTCTGCTAAATAGCATATTCAGAGAATGGGATGGTTTCATTCAAAGAAACATTTTTCTTACTTCAAAATTCCCATGTATACTATACAGAGTTGATCAATTTCAGATAACTCAACCCTTGTGAAACGTCCTTGACATTGAAGCCTTAAAAAGTTGAACGTCCTTTTACCAGTGACTCAGAAGGCCATGTTAAGTTGTGCAGGGCCTCAGAACCATCTCTGTCTTTATCAGGACCCACTGTACCATCAAGTAGCAGAATGAGGAAGAACACTGGAGTAGGGGTTGGTGGGCGCCAGACTTTTTCATTCTCCCTCTCTGTGCTTCCATTTCAATGCAAATGAAATAGGAGGTTAAATTCCATGATGGCAAAGGTCCAACATTTTTCTGAGTCTAAGGAGCTCTGGTAGCATAGTGGTTACAAATCAGGCTGGGAACCTCAAGGTCAGCAGTTCAAAACTATCAGCTGTTCCGTGGGAGAAAGAAGAGGCTTTCTGCTCCTGTAAAGATTTACAGTCTCAGAAACCCTATGCAGGGTCACTATGAGTCGGAACAGACTCCACGGCACATCACCACCACCACCAAGGACAGACTTCTGGTGTGGCACTGTGAACCACAAGGTAATAAGGTAGTTTCAAACCGACAAGCTTCTCCTTGGAAACTCTATATAGGGTCGCTATGAGTCAGAACTGATTCAACCATGCTTAACAACAAGGATGGAAGAGCCACACAGTCAAGTAATTTCTCCATAGACAGCATGTTGGGGTGCCAGCAAGCCTCCTCTTCATTTGGTACTGATAGAGTGAATTTCTTAGCTCATTCTGAAAATGTATGAAGTGCTTCATTGACCCATTCTCTGCCTCTCCCACCCTTCCCACACATCCTGCCTGACTGAGAAGAGCATCCCCATAGAGAAGCAGGCCAGAGTGTTCTTTGGCTGCCAGTCTCTTAGGGATTGCCCTGTCTCCTTAAGCAGTGAGAAAGGAAGACTAACAGACACTTTTTTGTTTTGTTTCCCTCGCAGCTGGTGGCTTCTATCGTCTTTATCAGCTTTGGTGTGATTGCAGCTTTTTGTTGTGCCATAGTTGATGGGGTCTTTGCTGCCAGACACATTGTGAGTATTTCTAGTCCTTGATTCAAGAAAATGTTCAATAAAGGAAGGTTGCCTTTGTGCGCTGGATGTTCAGCACTGTGTTATATACATTGTGAGGGTACAGAAGCGGGAGAAGCCAGGATGGCTGCCTCAGGATCTTACTAATAAGATGAGGAAAGACACCTATGGGCACATGGGCATCTAGAGAACTAGATCTAAGCTGTAGGGATGTACAGACTTTAAGTAGAGTGGTTTGTGGTGGATTCAAAAAGTGGAGATGGCAATGGAGCTATGCCTTTGAAGTGTGAGTCATATTTAGAAAGGCAAAGATAAGGGCAATGAAATGACTTGGAATTCAAAACCAATATGCTGTGTTGGGGGCCAGGGGAAAGGAGAGAACAGCAGGAAGTCACGTGATTTCCTGAGAGCCTTGAAGGTTTCAATAGGTGACCGACCTCCTCTTCAACAGCAACAAGCTGACATGAGGACGGAGTCAGCTTTTCTCAGGCACCTGAGCTTTGCTGTCCCTACAACAATGGTTGAAGAGTAGTGATACGGTTGGGGGTCTAGGGAAAGTTCTAGAGCTAGAGCTCCCAATCAGAATCCAGTCCTATAGTTCAAGTGCCAAATGCCTCATAAGGGCTATTTTCTTCCTGAACCTCAAACCTGGGCATATGGATTTGGCTCTAAGGGCATTCCTATTTGGCTTTCTACAGTAGCCTTCAGTCTTCTTCCAGCACATTTCATTTCATACTATTCCAGACATCTGACTGAGGACCAACTTCTCCATTAGGCACAGTAGACATACTACCCTGGACCTATAATACTTTAAAGGTTCACGAAGATGTTATCATTTCTTTTCAAATAAATAAAAAAAAGCAATGAATGTTTAGGTTGAAAAAAAAAAGGAGTTTTCATATGTAATATAAATATATGCAACATTATATATATAGATAGATAGATATATATAGATATAGATATAGATATAGATATAGATATATATACACACGCATAAAGGGAGCTCTGGTAGCATGGCTTGAGTCATGAGCAAGAAATCAAACAATGTATTCATTAAGCAAATCTGCTGCACAAGACCTGTTTTTAAAGTGTTGAAGAGAAAAGATGTCAGCTTGGGGACTAAGGTACGCCTGACCCAAGCCATGGTATTTTCAATAACCTCATATGCATGTGAAAGCTGGACAGTGAATAAGGAAAATCGTAGAAGAACTGATGCTTTTGAGTGATGGTGTTGGAGGAGAATATTGAAAGTGCCATGGGTTGCCAAAAGAACAAATAGAGCTGTATTAGAAGAAATGCAGTCAGAGTGTTCCTTGGAGGCCAGGATAGCCAAACTTCATCTCTCATACTTCGGACATATTGTCAGGAGGGACCAGTCACTGGAGAAGAATATCATGTTTGGTAAGGTGGAGGGTCAGAGAAAAAGGGGAAGACCCCCAGCGAGATGAACTGGCAAAGTGGCAGCACCGATGGGCTCAAGTATGACAACCAGGACCGGGCAATGTTTTGTTCTGTTGTACATAGGGTTGCTATGAGTCGGTACCAACTAGAAGGCACCTAATAACAACAACATGTACAAAATACTGAATGATGCAGAAAGCATCAAAGAAGGTGGAAGGAATACATAGAGTCACTGTGCCAAAAAGAAATGGTGGATGTTCAAATATTTCAAGTGGTAGCATATAATGAAGAGTCAATGACACTGAAGGAAGAAGTCCAAGGTGCATTGAAAGCACAAGGCTCCAGGAATTGATGGGATACAAATTGAAATCATTCAACAAACTGATGCGGTACTGAAGGCACTCACTCATCTATGCCAAGAAATTTGGTCAACTGACTGGAAAAGATCCATATTTGTGCCCATTCCAAAGAGAAGTGATCCAATGGAATGCGGAAATCATCAGACTATCATTAATATCTCATGCAAGAAAAATTTTGCTAAAGACAATACAAAAACGGCTGCAACCATACATAAACAGAGAACTTGCAGAGGTTCTAGCTAGACTCAGACAAGGACGTGGAATGAAGTGCATCATTGCTAATGTTAGATGGATCTTGGCTGAAAGCAGAGAATGCCAGAAAGATGTTTACCTGTGCTTTATTGACTATGCAAAGGGTTTCAATTGGACAACATTGAAGAGGATGAAAATTCTGAAACACTTAATTGTGCTCATAAGGAACCTGTACATAGACCAAGAGACAGTTGTTTGAACAGAGCAAGGAAATTCTGAATGGTTTAAAATTAGGAAAGGTGTGTCCTAGGGTTGTATTCTTTCACCATACTTATTCAGTCTGTATGCTGAGCAATTAATTCGAAAAGCTGGATTATATGAAGAAGAACATGGCATCAGGATTAGAGGAAGACTCATTAACAACCTGTGATATGCACATGTAACAAACTGTGATATGCAGATGATACAGCCTTGCTTGCTGAAAGCAAAGAGGGCTTAAAATACTGATGAAGATCAGAGAGCACAGCCTTCGGTATGGGCTTCACCTCAATGTAAATAAAAACAAAAATCCTCACCACTGGACCAATAAACGACATCCATGTAAATGGATGAAAGATTGAAGTTGTCAAAGACTTCATTTTGCTTGTATCAACCAATGGAAGCAGCAGTCAAGAAATCAAATGATGTATTGCATTAGGCAAATCTGGTGCACAAGATCTCTTTAAAGTGCTCAAGAGCAAAGATGTCAGTTTGAGGACTAAGGTGCACCTGACCCATGCCATGGTATTTTCAATAACCTCATATGAATAAGGAATACCATAGAAGAATTGATGCATTTGAGTTATGGTATTGGAGAAGAATATTAAAAGTTTCATGGATTGCCAAAAGAACAAACAGATCTGTGTTGGAAGAAGTACAGCTAGATTGCTCCTTGGAAGCCAGGATGGCTAGACTTCGTCTCTCATACTTTAGATATGTTGTCAGAAGGGACCAGTCCTTGGAGAAGGACATCATATTTGGTAAAGTGGAGTGTCAGAAAAAAATAGGGGAAGATCCCCAACGAGATGGACTGGCATAGTGGCAGCATCAATGGGCTCACACGTAGCAACAATTGTGAGGTTTGTGCAGGACCAGGCAGTTTAGTTCTGTTGTGCATAGGGTCGGTCGCTTTAAGTCGGTGCCAATTCAACGGCACCTGGTCTGCAAACTGAAATGAAGTATGAGCCACAGCAACTTGTTGAGCCTCCACAGCCAACCCAAATACTCATTTTTTAAAAAACAGGGGGGGGAAAAAAAAAAGCAGAACCAACATTAAAAATGAAAATATCCCATGAACTAGCTGGAAATATGTTTTCTTAATAATTCAGTTGGAACAAAATTGTGTTATCAGAACATACTCTGGATCCAACAATGTTTTATTCCATTTTCATTTTGGCTAATTGTTTAAGGTCCCCCTGAGGGTTTGGCAGGGGTATGGATGGCAGGGGTATGGATGGAGTGGAGATATTATTGTTTCAATTCCAACACTCCTATTCTTGGACCCTCCTCCAAGCATGTTGACAGAGGTAGAAAATTCTGTTCCTCATTTTCTAAGTTTAGATGAGCACCTTGGGTGGTGTTGCCACCTAAGCAGCCTCTGAACTATCCTCTCAGGAGATCATTTCTGGATTTGTTGTTGTTAAGTGCTGTCGAGTTGGCTCTTTTGGATAGAAGACAGAATAGGAAGATGGGAAGAGAAATAGTTTACCTGGTTTTCTTTCAGCACTAGGATTATAAATGTTGGTCAGATTTACAGCCTCGGAAACCCTGTACAGGGTCGCTATGAGTCGGAACTGACTCCACATCACATAACAACAACAACCTATCAGACTCACCCCTTCTGACTTTAACCGTGTGTGTGATCATCTTTTTCTGTCTTTTTTTCAAAAAGGCAAATAACTTATCAGTAAATTTTAATCACCATAATCCTACAACCCTAACATAGCAGATCTTTTCATGTTTGCATATTACCCTCTCAGTATACAGCTATTTGTGTATCATAATTGCAGTCAGTCATAATATGCATGCTATTTTGTATTCAACAAGAACCATCTTAATAACAATAATTCCTTGTTTTTGTGTAGTGTACTTAGCTTTTCCATGTGCCTTCACATCTATTACCTCATCTGAGACCCACCACAACCCTGTTAGATATGTAGGGCAGGCATTATTATCTCCATTTGACAAGCAGTATTTACTCTGAGGCAGTCTCCATGGCAACGTGGACCTAGTGACTGAGAAGTGGCATCATGAACTAAAATGGTTTCTTCTTTATCCTTCTTCTTCAAACTTGAATGTTTTTTTTTTTATTTAAACAGCTTTATTGAGATATAATTTACATGCCATATAATTCACCAACTTGAAGCATATAATTCAGTGTTTTTTGGTATATTCACAGGTATGTCCAGCCGTCACTACAGTCAATTTTAGAACATTTTCATTACCCCAAAAGCTATTATGCCCCCTAAATTCACAACCACTAATGTGCTTTCTGACTTTATATAGTTTCCTGTTTTTGATATTTCATATAAAACATGGTCTTTTGTGATTGGCTTCTTTCATTTACCATGTTTTCAAGCTTCATCCATGTTGTATCATTTATCAGCACTTCATTTCTTTTTTTGACCAAATGATATTACATTCTATAGCTATGGCACATTTTATCTATTGTTGAACATTTGATTTATTTCAACTTTTACACTATTATGAATAATGCTGCTATGAACATTCCTGAATGAATTTTTATGTGGACATAGGTTTTCATTCATTTTGGGAATATAACTGGAAGTGGGATAGTTGGGTCATATAGTTACCACAAGGATCCCTGGTTACACAATGGCTTAAGCACTTAGCGGCTAATCATAAGACCAGCAGTTCAAACCCATTAGTTGATTCGTGGGAGAAAAGACCTAATGATCTCCTCCCACAAAGATTACAGCCTTGGAAACCCTGTGGAGTAGTTCAACTCTGTTATATAGGGTTGCTTTGAGCCAGAATTGACTCAGTGGATTACAGCAACAACAACAACATAGTAATTATGTTGTTAAATTGTTATGTTTGATTGTTTGTGGAATTGTCAGACTGTTTTCCAATGTGGCTGCACCATTTACCTTCCTACCAGCAGCATATTTTTCCACATCCTCACCAAGTCTTGTTATTATCTGACTGTTTTATTTTAGTCATCCTAGTGAATATGAATGGAGTCATGGTATGGCACTGTAAGATAAGCACTGGACTGCAAGATTGGTTTGAACCACAGGGTTGGCAGTTCAAACCCACCAGCCTCTCCTCAGAAACCCTATACATGGTTGCTTTAAGTCGGAACTGACTCAACAGTTCTCAGCAAAAACAACAACAGTGGGTATGAAGTGGTAACTCTTGGTGGCTTTGATTTGTATTTTACTAATGTTCCTCATGTTTTTGATCACTGGCCTCAGTCAAAGGCAATGGAAAAAAAATCTAAACTATATTTGCCAGAAGTTTCCTCTAATACTCACCTACCTGCCTCTAACACAAGGCTCTCTGTCCCTACTACAGTGCAGTGGGCTGCAGTATAACATTTAATTCATGGGCTTGGGCAAGTCTGGAAAATCTTTAAGGAAGCGTTTGTGCCTGAGAGTTCTTTCAGTCCTCATTGATACCCAGGGTGTTTTGAGGAAGAAAGCTTTATTAATCTTTGGTGGTATCTGTTAGCCAACTTAAATGAAAGGCACATTTGGACCCAAGTGATCTCTGGTAGCGTAGTGGTTACAAATTGGGCTGCTAACCTCAAGGTCTGCCAAAAGAACCAATAGATCTGTTTTGGAAGAAGTGCAACCAGAGTGCTCCTTGGAGGCCAAGATGGCTAGGCTTCGTCTCTCATACTTTGGACACATTGTCCGGAGAGAACAGTCGCTGGAGAAGGATGTCATGCTGGGAAAGGTGGAGGGTCAGAGAAAAAGAGGAAGACCCCCAATGAGATGGATCAGCCAGGTGACATCATTGATGGTGTCAAGTGTGGCGGCGGTAGTGAGGTTGGCCCAGGATCGGACATTGTTTCGTTCTGCTGTGCATGGGGTCACTATGAGTTGGTTCTGACTCGATGGCACCTGACAACAACAACAACCTCAAGGTCAGCAGTTCAAAACTACCAGTCATTTTGCGGGAGAAAGATGAAGTACTCCTGTAAAGATTTATAGCCTCGGAAACTCTGTGCAGGGTCACTATGAGTCAGAACCGACTCCACGGTACTTAACAACAACAACAACACTGCCTGTGTGGGGTAAAGCCAGTCTTTCCTGTTGCCAAGACTCTTTGGCATCATCTTGCCTTGTTCCTTTGACTTTAATGAATACGAGTTTCCTCTCAAGAACGACCTTCTCTCACACCTTGTTCCTTCTAGTTCCTTCTCTCTCTTGCCTCATGCTTCCTTTCTCTAGTATCTCTTGCTCATACGTCTTTCTTTCTCTGATTTCTAATATAGACATTAACTTGCAGGAAAGTCACTTCAGCTTCCTGTGTGTCAGTGTCCTCCTCTGACAGATGAATATAATTAATATAATAGCTCTCAGGTTTAGCATGAGGATGATGTGCAATATTGGGTGTGAACATGCCCTACAGACAGCCTGGCTCAACATAAAGCAATTTCCATTTCTACCCCTCTCTCCATAGTACAAGGAGCTCTGGTGGTACACTGGGTTAAGAACTGGACTGCTAACTGAAAAGTTGGTGTTTTGATCCAACAGTTCTACTCTGTCCTAGAGTGTCACTATGAGTAGGAATCAATTCTATAACACTGGGGGAGTGTTTTATTTTGTTTTATTATTCCCCGGATTATTCCTCCAGATTAAAAAGGTTGCTGAGCCCTGTCTGAGTGACATTTTCCCAGCCCCAGTTGCCTGGGCTTTTTCCTTCTCTGGGATCTCAGTGCAGAATAGCAGTCAGCGGCAGCAAATGGGCAATCATCACATATGTCTGCCCTCAATTAGAGCATTGGGTGACTGCATGCCTTTTGCCTAACCAGGAGGTTAGGAAGGCTACAACCAGCACATGTGCATCAAGCTTCCCCTTCTGCAGGATAATAATGACTTCTGCCATAACCCAAACAGAAAATATTCCCTGCTAGATATGAGTTAGGAGTCCTGGTGGTATATTGTTTAAACACTCAGCTGCTAAACAAAAGGGTGGTGGTTCAAACCTATCAGTTGTTCTGTGGAAGAAAGATGTGACAGTCAGCTTCTGTAAAGACTTAAAGCCTTGGAAATCTTATGGGGCAGTTCTACTCTGTCCCTTCAGGTCGCTCTAAGTTGGGATGACTCAATGACAACAGGCTGAGTTTTTTGAGGTATAAACTTGAGAAACCTCATCACTCTCAAACCTGACTCCAAGATAAGCCAAAGAGGAATGAACTCTCACATTGTGAAGTCAGCAAATTCAGGTACAAATAGCTGAGGGGAAGTGGTTGGTCCTCGGAGGAACAGCAGGCTGGGGGACAGGAGGCACTTGGGTGGCAAGAACAGGAGCTGCTAAATCATCATCCACCAGTGTTATTGGAAATAGTGAGGGAAGTGGGAGCAGAAGGAAGGGGGACTATACAAAGTTCCTCTGTTAGGACACTTCTGCCAAATCCCACAAGGATAGTTTGCATTTGCTACCTGGTCCATCCTAATCTGCCTTTGGGGTCCTGGTGTGGTACTGTAGGATAAGCACTGGACTGCTACCGGCAAGGTAGGCAGTTCAAACCCACCAGCCACTCCTTGGAAACCCAAAAAGGCTGTTATGAGTCGGAACCAACTCAACAACACTTAACAACAACAACCTGCCTTTAGCAGTAACTCCCTTTCACTCAGGGGATATGAACAGTATCCCCTGCCCTCAAGCTTACAGGCAGCCCTGCCTTGTGTCTGCCTGTCTGTTTTCCTCCAGCTCCCACGCCTGAGAGCTCCCTCACCAGGAAACTGGCCAAGTCAGCAGAGTCAATCAACTCTTTTCAAGACCCATGTTAGTTTTCTGGGCTTCAGCAGTATTTTTCGAGTTCACTGTCTTTATCAAATCTGTGTAGTGGAGTGAAAATGACCCTGGTTCAGTTGAGTTAAAATCTACAACTGTCTACGTAGCTGCTTAATCCCATGGGACTTGCTTCTTGAGCTCTTACTCCTGAAAAAACTGTAGAAATGACGGCAGGGTGTACATGTCAGCCAGCCCTAGTCCTGTCCCCAGGTGATAATGAGCCCTCATTGTCAGAACTGGGTTCCTTGGACTTTATCCATTTGTGAGTGTGATGTTGCAATAACCTGAAGTTCTGAATCTTGTTCGCTGGGGATTTTTTGCAGGAATAAAAAGACAACCAGAGAGGAAATCTCCTGAAACCTGTTTCTCAACCACTTTCCTAATTTCACGTCAACCAAAGAGGTCTCAATATAAAGCAGTTTACTCAAGCAGTTTGATCTGATCCTCAGGGTCTCGGGTTCCTAAATGGGAAACTTAGAGAAATGAACCCAATACTCTGCCTGCTTTGAAGGTGGTATGTGTGTGTGTGTGTGTGTGTGTGTGTGTGTGTGTGTGTGTGTGTTCAACTCCTGTATTAACAAACAGACCAATTTCTGATCTATTTTTTAAAAGCCAAAACCCATTTGGTTTGGTGTTTCTCTTTCTAGGACCTGAAACCACTCTATGCTAACCGCTGCCACTATGTCCCCAAGACATCCCAGAAGGAAGCTGAGGAGGTGAGCCAAAATGAGGCTACATGTTTTGCCTTCTGGGAAGCCCTCTTGTTCTGCCTGAACACACCCCCTCCCTCTTTTTTTAAACTCTGTTTCATGGATGGAGGCTAGCTGCTAAGAATTTGTGGCTGATATGTTCGTGGGTCAAAGCATAGTGCTAATGAAGCCACAGTCATAGGTTGGAGTCTCAAGAGACCTGGTAAGATTAACTTTGTTCTATGGCCCCAAGCTGGCCCTCTGACCCACCCAGCAGCCTCCCTGTATGCGGCTTTGATCCCAAAAGAGACAGAAAAAAAGTACAAAAGTCCCTGGGCATGCCCATCCTACATCACTGTTGATGATGGTTCCGTTGCCTGGACTTGATGTCCAACTGGAAGAAAAATGAGAGCCCTGCCAAAGCCTGAGGGATTGGGGGGGGGGTGACCAAGGAGTGTTGAGAAGCCTAGTCCATTTTGAGGAACTGGGGAGACGTGGACTATCAAGCTGAAGGCAATCTGGCTCCCAACAAACCCCAAGAGACTAAGCTAGTCATGCTTAAGTGGGAAGGAGTCTCTGTCTTCTGCCCCACATGATTCTCCTTGTGTTCCATACAGAACTGGAAGCTGGGGGCAGTGAGGCAGAGCATGGGTCCAGGTCATTTCTGGAGGGTTTTCATTCCAGTATACAGTGATCCCTCCCAAACTGAGAAGTTACTTTATACGAAACTCTACCAGTTGTTTTCAGGAACCTTAATCGTCCTGTAATCTGAGCCTCACATTGAAAGCTAGTCCTTTTAACAAGTCGGGAAATGGCAGAGTTTTGATTAGGATAAGAAAAGGAAGGCAAGTGGGTATAAAATGGCCACTGTATCGCACACAACCATGCCATGTGCCTCTATGACAGCTCTGCAATCCACTTACCTCTCTTCCCAGACACAAGTTCATCATTTCTTAGAACCATTCTCAGGTTAAAAGGAAGCAATGGAAATGTGTTTGTGGTCAGCAGCTTATCAGAAAAGGACAGTGAGCGTATGGATGAAGGTCCCAATACAGAAAAAAGCACTTGTTTATTATAAATATTCTCTAATAACAAAGCAACAACAGCAACAACAAAAATACAAGCAATTCGTTGCATCCACTGTGGGGAGAGAGTCTGGAAAAATATATTGCAAACAAGAGCTGGTAAATGGAAATGAATTTTTGCAGGTTTTTTTTTTAAGTTTTTGCAAATTCAAGATGTGTCACTGCTGTTCTCTTGATTTTGTTGTGATCGCTTTCTAGTGTTACCTTGGTGACTATAAGAATTTGAATAATGACTTACATAGGTTCACTTGTAACCCTGGTCCCCCTAACCCTATTTTTTCCTATATAAGGTCATAAGTTCCTCAACCAAAAATTCTCCTTCCGCGAGGGTTATGAGGAACCTTACCCAGGCAGCTAGAGAGGTACTATTGTACTTCAGAGTGCATGTGACAGCCCCTCTGTTTTCCTTCCCACCTGAACCTCTTTCCTCCTGTACTTTGATTTTCCCTTCCCTCTTCTCCTCATTTCTCTATGTCCTTTTGTTATTCCATGCATCCTTCCATCTGTTCTTCCTCCTCTCTATCGCTCTCCTTCATGGATGGGACACTGAGGGCTGTGGCTGAGACTAAACATGAGCCTAGCTACACAATGACTTGCTTCAGATGCAAGCTCCACCAGCCTTGCCCCACCTCTCTCATGGGTTGGTTTGTTCATTTCACAGATATCCTTACTGTCTCCATCAGTCACTAATGTGAGTTTCCAATCCAAGAGGGTCCCTGCCTCCCATTCACTGCCAGCTCATGTCCTCACTATTGTGTGCCCTCAGGTGAACTGCCCTCATCTCAGCCGTGGATCCTGCACTCCTCGAATCCGGGGGAACACCTGCTTCTGCTGTGACCTCTATAACTGTGGCAAGTAAGTGTTGAGCCCCAGGCACAGGAATAATGTTTTAACTATAATGGGCACAACAGCAAGGATCACAGAAGTAGAAGACATCCTTTAGGTAATGTACATTATCTGCTTCCTGAGTGCCAGGAACCATGATAGGTACTTTCACGTATTTGATCTCATTTAATCCTTACCCTGTGAGGGATGCAGAATTACTATCCCCATTTTACACATGAGGAGAGAGGCTCTGAGGGAACAGACACAAGCTTAAAGTTACACAGAACTTGAAAATGGTAGAGGTAGGATTTGAACCCAGTTAGCTCTGGTAGCGTAGTGGTTACGAATCGGGCTGCGAACCTTAAGGACAGCGGTTCAAAACTACCAGC